TTTTTTTTTTTTTTTTTTTTTTCATATGTCAGGGGAGAGAGTCTAGAACTTATTTAGAAAATGTTGCATTATACATAAAGTGTTGTGGTTTAAAAACTTCCAGCCACTTTAATAAAACTGATATAAAAACTTTTCAGCCAAGAAACAAATAGCACAGTTTTCTGTTTAGGTATTCTTCTGGTTTCCTTTTTTGTTTCCTTCTGAGCTGGAACAGTAGCAATAGTTGTGGAGATTGGGCTGTAGCTACAGAGGGAGAAAAACCAGAGGAGGAGAGGAATGATGTGACTTTTGTTTTTAATTGTAGGGGAGTGGGGGTTCACAATCTGGAGAAATTGTGGTAAGGCAGTGTAGTACAGTTTTGTCAACAAGAGTCTGACAAATCTGACTGCCCTATTTTCATTGTGCAAGGTTTATCACAATGGATGAGGAATAATCAGTCGCCCTCCAGACTGAACACTGTTTTGTTTTGTTTTTTTTAAGAGCTCCTAGTATGCTTGCAGAACATGCTGCAGTTTCAGGGTTCAGGTTCTGGTTCACAAGGTGTAGGCCACATGTAGGCTACACAAGGTTTTGGCCACTAATGGTCTTGATGTTCCATTAGTCAGGGAATCCTTTTTCTGCAGTTCTGCTATCTATTCTCTTTTATGTAGCTCCTATTTCATAACCCTTTAGACTGTTTGTTTGTTTTTTATCTCCAGTAACAGCATTAATTCAGGTGTGGAAACTTTATCTTCAGCTCAGGTGTGGAAATAATGGTCAGTGAAGCATTGGATGCACTATCAAAATGCTCAAGAAGGCTGGATTTTTAAAGACTTATCTATTTAATTCTAATGACCACAGAACTAAAGAAACAACAGGGTTTTTTTTATAATTTTGCCTAGTTTGTTGTACTTTTCTATACAAAAGAGATGATATGGCAAATGAATGCACACTCCAGTGAAGTTATATTTGTTTTTCCCTCAATCTTGAACTGAAAAATACTGTACTTACTCAGTTAGAAGATGAGGTTTTCACCCCTTTTAACATGGGGGGGGGGGTAAAATCACCCTGCTCTACAGTTGAGAACAAGGCAGCCAAGGGACAGCAGGGAGTGGGAGAAAAAGGTATGTAGGCAGCTGCTGTGGCTTCAGCCCCACTCCCTGTCTTCATCCCCACTGCCTCTGCACACCCCACCATTCCTCCCGCACAGCCCCCAGTCTCTTCCCCATCCTGCTTTTCCCTCTCTCCCACTCTGCCATACTCCTCCTTACCTTTGCTCCATACCAACAGGCTCCATCCCTACACAGCCCAAGGCATGGAGCATAGCTCCAGCGTGGCCTTGTAGCAGCAATGCCAGCTCTGGGCCACTGCTATGAAGCCAGGCTGGAGCCATGCTCGAAGGACGGAGCCTGCTGGCATGGAACAAAGGTAAGGGGCTGGGGTAGATAGGTAGGGGGGCCAGGGACCTGAGTTTGCCAGGGGCAGAAGCAGAGTGGAAGGGGGAATCAGGATAGCCTGAGGCTGCAGGGGAGAGCGGAGGCACAATATGGGGATAAGTGAGGGAGGGAGATAGTGGAGAGGCAGACAGCTTGCTCTCTGCTGTCTGCCCCCAACACTTCCACACTCCCTGACCCATTACTGCCCCCCATCACTTCTCCTCCCACCAGCTGCAGTAGTGGGAGGAGACATATTTAAGATGATTCTGAAATAATTAGATTTTTAGATTAGATTAGATCATAATAAATTTATAAATTGTCCATGTGTAGAATTGAATAATTGGGGGTGGTTTTGCATTCAGGGTTGTCTTATATATGAGAAAATATGGCATTGCTCTGGCCCCTTAGCATATTAGTACAGCTTTTAGTTTCTTTTCACCTAGAGAAAAATGAGTGGTATGTTTATATGTGATGACACCCCACCCCACCAGTACCCTACTTTTCAAACGCCTAGATCCACCCATAAAGTAAGATGTAACCATGCTGAACTTCTCAATTTATTAGTTACTGTGCACAAACCTAGAGCCCAGTCCTGACTTCCCTTAGAACACAAACCATAGCACATATCACTCAACTTGGGAACATATGTCAACTCTGAATATTTGTAGCTGTTGCCCAAGCTTGTAATCAGCCTGAGAGAGGGCATCCCATTCTTAGAAAGGCAGAAAGAAAATCCTTGTTAAAAGTCAGAAATCTTTAACTCATTGGATATATGTGGTGAGCACTGGAGTTTAGTTAAGAATTTTTCCCTGCCATGATGTTTGCTTACTGTTAGGGGTGGGCAGAGGGAATGCTTGGTTTAATCCCTTTTAAATGTACTTGTTTTGTGGCATTCTTCACTATTTCCTCTTTCTCTATAGCTGCTTCTGTTGACTTTGTTTAAACAAGGTTTTCAATTAATATTACAATATTATTTGGCAACTTAATGATATTTGACCAATGTTGTTACAAAGTCAGTTGTCATATTTCAATATCTTCAAATAATAACTTTTTCTTGACTCTGGCAAGATTGTAAAAAAGGGAAGGAAGAAACTGTTGCAAGTGTCTATGGGAGTGATAGTTGTTTGTTATAGTAGGTCATTCACAGTACTACTTGTCTAAGAATTAAAACACTCCAGCTTGTGTGCTTTGAGGCATACCATTTGGAGTGTATGTTGGCATGGGAGGCAAGAAGAGTGAGTAGGGGCTGGTGTTTGTTTTTCTTCTGCTTTCAAGGACATTAAAAATGATACAGATAAGCAATCTGATCTTGCTTAGCAAAGTTGTCTGTTCCTTATCAACAGAAATGAGATGAGGAGCAGGACCAAAAGCTGTTTGCTCATGTTGAATATCTGCATGGATTTCTCTGTTTTCCATTTCCACTTGGTATTTTTATTTCGGTGCCAGGGAAGGTGTTGAATCCACTATATTGCTCCCATTGATGTTAATCCTTACCCCAGTATGAAATCTAAGTAAATTGTCTATATTATATCCACTGGGGTGTGTTGTTTTTTTTTTAGAGTCTGGGATGGAATGAATTCTCTGCAGGCTTTGAGGCTGCTAGTGTGGTGCTACTCCCCAGTCAATTCTGTATCCTAATTCCTTCCTTATCCTTGTTGTGGGATCATAGATCCTTGGCCATCATCTTTCTGTAATGGAGCAACTCTTGTGGACACTTGAGGAAGATGTGCTACTCCCACCTTCAACTTTTTTACTGTCCTGTAAATGTTCCTCCTAGTCCTGGTGACCAAAAATGAAGGAGGTATTCAGGAAAACTTCCAGTGAAAGTGATTTCTTTTTTCTTGAGTAATATATATCTTTATATTTATATCTTCAGATATAGATCCCAGATCCCCCTGACACATGAAAGTTATTTTTAGAAAGGTTACTATTTAAAATGACTGTTGAATAAAATTTGTCACGTTAATACAAAGTTAGGGTTGGGTTAGCTCTACAACAGTGGTTCTTAACCTTTTTTAGGAAGAAACCCTTCATTAGACTCAGGGTGGATTTGATTTAAATCAAATCAATTTAAATCATGATTTAAACCACTAGCCAGGAAGCCTTGATTTAGTCATTGCTTTCTATAAAAAGTGCATTCTTGTTATTTGATATCCCTTATTCACTTAACTTCTTGAAACTTTGCACTTTTAGAGTAAGTGCTTGACTGTATGTACACAAACTTGCAGAGCGACAATAGGGCTGATGGGTGGGTAATCGCATCTGTTTTCTCTCATCTCCATATATTGCTGTTAACAAGCATGTTATATCTGGTGACGACAGACTTTCCCTATGCCTGAAAAAGGGTGTTTGTCCCCAAAAGCTTGCAAAGTTTTCCAACTATTTAGTTGATCTAATAAAAGATATGACATCTACCCAAAGAACCTTGTCTGCCTATGGTCTCTAGAGACAAATCCACAGTTTGAGAACTGAAACTAAGCATCACAGAGATGCTTGTTGGGATCTTCTAGATCAGAGGCAGGCAATTATTTTGGGTGGAGGGCCACTTAATGAGTTTTTTTGGTGAGGCATTGAGGGCCGCAAGTGTAGCCCTTCCCCTTGGCAGGTGCCCCACCCCCTGGCAACCATCTTGTGACTGGAAGTCCTGCCCCCTAAGCCCTGACCTTTGCCACTAGGAGTCTTTCCCCTTGCCTAGAAAATACTCCTTTTGGGGTTCGGGGCAGTTTGCTTGTATATTGTGTGTGCAGGGATAAGGGGTATAGTGCAGGTACAGTGTGGAGGCATAGGAGGAGTGGGGGTGTGAGGTATTATGGGTGGGTGTGGTTGAGGTGTGGTGTGTGTGGGGGACTTCTGGGTGCATGTATGTGGTTGTTGAAT